GGGGAATATTAATACATTTCACATACCAAGAGTTAGGTAAACTCAGGGAGCCCAGCAAATTATAGCTCATGTCAGTTTCCCATATTTCCCCTCTTAACAGGAACAAAGTCAGGGGCCTCCCTAGTGGCACAAGGGGTTAAAACAGCACTCTGAAGCTATTCACCGCCACTACAGCCTGAGTTCAAGCCCCAGTCAGGGATCAAACAGTCTCTGGCATAGGGATGGTGCAGCAGACCTCTCCTTTCTCCCCTGCCGCTCCCCTCAGCAGTGTACTTAGTCAGTTTGCCTGTTCTGCTCCCCACTTTGCTGCTCCCCACTTTGCCTCTGGTGAATCCTCTCACCACCCCGCACCTCTGGCCTGTACCCTGTCCAGTTCTATGTGGCAAGAGAAGTCATTACACCTCCAATGCTAGGAATGCGCTGCTTTTCCCTCCTGCTACCAGCTTGACCAACCAGAATGAGCTACCCTCAGAAAGAGACTGGGATGAAGGGGGTCAGTGGGCAGCAGAGGAGCCGCTTACCCATGTCCTCAGCATCCTGCTGCTCCTGGCCATCCCGGATGACCAGCTGGGCCCGCTCAGGGCCCTCTGTCTCCTGATCTTCCTGGCTTGCCAATAGGACAGCTGGAACCTGTGGGGTCTGGCCAGTATCACCAGCTTCTCCAACACCCCTTTCACCCACTTGTCTGTTGTCTTCCATGGCTCGCCCTCGGCCTGGCTCCTGCAGCAGCTTCAGGCTGTCCCTCGGAAGTTCCTCCGCACTGATGACCTGAATCTTGTTGATTTCTGCTGTGCCTGGAACATAGTTACCTGTGATCTCACTAACATTTCACTCAATTAAAACCAAAGTGTAGGGCCTCACACCATGCAACTCCCAGAGCATTGCTGAAGAATACTGGGGGAGCACTTGGTAATTTATTTAGTAACCTCAGCAGAAGACTCCAGACACTGACATTTGCATCACATATTTCAAACCCATGAAGTGGTTTAGAAAAAAATACCTGGACTAAAGTTATTTGAAAACAGCAGCAAGCTGTAAGTGGAGTAGGGTACACTACGGGGTTGTCGGCTAGTTACAGCTGAGACAAGTGCTCAGGAGCCAGAGCAGGCCAGCCTGCCCCGCCTGCAGGCACACACTGGCCCCAGGACACTTAACTATGATTCAGATGCCTCTACCCCACAGCCCACTGGTCTCCTGAAGAAAGGCATGACCCAGATCTTCCCTTACACAGCTGCCAAGAAAACAAGATACTTAGTTTATAAGGGAAGGACATAAGACCAAAAAGGGTTGTGTCCAAAGAGACTCAGTGCCAGCCCCTTGGTTGACTCCAACCATGTACTCCGCCCTGTGAACAAGTGCAGTTGGGGACGTGGACTGCCGCCTCATCTGGTAATTGCCAAGCATCGCTTACCTTTCTCACTTTGTCTCTTCAAATCCAGAGCCACGTCAGAACTGGGGGCAGGTGTTTGGGGCTCGCCATTGACAGGCACCTTTCCTTTCACTTGTGGCACCTCTGCCTGTGGAAGGCCTGCCTCCTGCAGCCTGGGCTGAGGCTCACTGGGGGCTCGAAGCTGAAACAGGAGCACAGGCGTCCAGCAGGAGCCCCTTGGCATAAACCTTGCAATAACCTCCAGCAGCAAAATGGGCCACCATGTCCCTCTGACAAATGAGAATAGTCAGACCCTGACAAGTGACATGATCTATCCCAGTCATCCCTAATGTCCTGTCGTAAGCCTGGAGATAGGTCAGCTCCCCAAATGTGCTTTTAGTAACGACTGACAAGATCAACAAGGAAAAAGGAGACTTGAACACTACAAGTCAAATAGACGTAACACATCTATGGACTACTTGATCCAACAACAACAACAAAAAAACAGAAATTACCTAAAATGCACATGGAATACTCTCCAGGACAGACATGCCAGGCTACATGCCTCAAAGTTAAAATGACTGAAAATGATACAATGGTTTGGTTATTAGTGTGTAATGGCATGTTGGTGTGATTATAAAAGAAATTCAGTGATGTGTAGAAATTAGATAACACATTCTCAAATAACCACTGGCTGAAAGAAATCACAAAATTAGAAAATACCTTGAGAAAAAATAAAAACATAACAGCAAACTTGAGGGAGGCAGCTAAATCAGTACTTACAGGGAAATTTACAGGCCTCAATAAAAAAAAAGTATCTGAAATCAATAATCTGACCTATGTTAAAATACTGGGAAAAGAAAAGGAAACTGAACCTAAACAAGGGAATAATTAAAGATGAGAGCAATAATTAATGGAGTGGAAAAAAAGAAACCAAAAGTTACTACTTTGAAAATAGAGTGGCAGATTTACCAAAAAGATTAACAGGAAAAAAGACTTCAATTGTGGAAATAATGAAAGGGGCAACATTACCATGTACAGATAAAGAAGCATGAGGGATACTACAAACTACTTGCCAATAAGCTGATCATGTGTAAGAAATATATAGTGTTCCTAGAAAGACACAAACTACCTAAACTGACACACAAAGTAGAAATATGAAAGGCTCCCAGCAAGAGACTTGAGTCAGTGATTCAAAATCTTCCCCTGGGGATAGGGGTTAAGCCAGCGCTGTCACCACCATGACCTGCTTTCATCCCCAGAGAGGGGACCCACATGGCCCAGCAGACCTGTCTCGCAGCTGCTCCCCTCAGCAGTGTACTTAAGTGGTTCTGCATGTTCTGGCCCCCACTCTGGTTCCCATAAATCCTCTTAACTACCACCACTACCCCTAACCCCCCCACCTCAGGCCTACACTGCATTTCTGTGCAAAATAAAATGTTCAAAATCGTCCCAAAGAACTACCCGTAACTTCAGATAGCTTCACTAGTAAATTTTACCAAATATAACTATATACTACAAACTGTGGAATTTAAAACAGAACGTGGATAAATTGCATGGTAGGTGCTATGTTTAAAAGTTAAAAACAAAGATTTTTCCAGAAGGCTCAGAGCAACAGCTGCCTGTGCTTTCATGTGCTTCACGCTGGAGGCAGCCCCAGGACTCTGGCTCTGTCAGACCAGCTGGGCACTGCCACAATCTTAACCGTCTGCAAGGGCTGCAGTGCCCTCAAAACGGGAACAACTCCCAGGGTGGCTGAGGCCTTTCAGTGAAGTGATCCCTGTAAACCAGAGCACAGAACCGGGGTCGGCATGCTTGGTCAGACTTAGAACAGCCTGGACCAGGTGTGCCTTACTGTGTCTCGGAACCAAACCCCTTGGATGGCAGAGATTAGAGCAAATCAGACCACAGAGGGGGGAAAGCTGCTGGCTACCTGCTGGCTTTGATCTCTCTTTTCACTCAGATCTCTGGAAGCTTCATATCCCTTTTTAGTGACTTCTTCTATTCGCTCTTCACACTGTTCCTTCACCTCTTTTATCTGATTGATGCACTGGCTCCTTTGGAGAGAGAGCAAAAGACAAGATGGGTATTTATGGATGTGCCTATACACTAAGTATTTCCCTGCTATGACTGAAATCCTCTTCAAAACACAGCTTCAGACACTTTGCCTGAAGAGGGCAGTCAGGCAAGGCAATGCGTTCAGTAAAATGAAACATGAAAAATAGGCCACATCCTTCTAAAATGCGTGCACTTAACTGGTTGGGGGGGGAGGAAACATTGATCTTTGCTGTTATTGGCATTTCTGAATAACAAAAATGTCCTGTTACTCATAATGAATCCCAGTGGCCCACCCCTGAGTTTATGCTAATAGTGACCAGGAGGAGCCTGCTCCGGCTTTAGGACAGGGCAGGAAGCCGGGAACCAGCTACAGATTAAGAGGTTTCGGGTTCCCCTTCTCCACGCCCCAGGGAAGGAATGGAGTTCGATCTGATGACCAATGTAGTAACCAATCATACCTGTGTAATCAGACCTGAGATAAAACCTCAAGGCGAGACTCCAGGTGCCCCGTGGTTAATGAATATCTGCACCACCAGAGAGGCAAACAGCTCCTGGGAGCACCCCTGCCTGCCCCCACGGCCATCTGACTCTTCCTGAGTTGCCTCCTTTAAACTGTCATTGTAAGTACAGAGCTTTCCTGAATTGTGAGTGGCTCTAGAGAATACTGAGACTAAGGGGATGGCGGGAAAGCCCTGCATTTGTAGCAATCCAGGGGACAGTGTGGTGGGGCTGAGTAACTGCATAGTGTAAAAACTGAACTTCCAAGAAGACAGGAGGTCTGTTTTCTCCTAATTCTTCCTAACGAATACAACAGTCTGGGCATCGTATTTGAAACAAGAAAACTCAATGGTGGGAAGGAGGAGGAACTTCAGGTTCTGAGGAACAATGCACTGAGGTCAGTGGAGAGTGGGTGCCCACACCTCCACCCCCACCTGACAGGAAGGCACTACTCCCCCACCACCACCACAAGGGGTAGTGTCACAGGGTGTCCATGAAAACTTGGGACTCACCACCCAAGGTGTCACTTGAAATTCACTTGTCAAACCACGAACCAGGAGGAAATCAAATTGTATGAAAAAAGGCAACACACCAACTTTTACATGACAGAAAAGTTAAACTTACCTATGATTTTAAAGCAAAAAGATATTTCACTGAACAATGAATACTTATTTGAAAAAAATGAATAGTCTCAGCAAAGCTAGAAATTCTTAGCAAGGAAATAGAAGACATAAAGAGGAACCAGATGAAATTCTGGCACTGGAAATTGTGATAACCAGAATAAATTCAAGAGGAAATTATCAGTGAACTGGAAGATAAAACAATAGCCATTACCCATTCTAAATAGCAGACAGGAGACAAACTAAGAAAAGTAAGGGCCCACAGCTTCAGGGACCTGTGGGACCAGCACTACAGCCAGCAGCCACCGCTGGAACCTAGGAGGACCCACAGAAGTAACCGTCTGTAACCCGTCCTCAAGGCAGCCACTGACTGCCCAACAATACAGTCCTCCTCACTCCAAGTCCAGATGTCTTTCTCTGCTTCCCGTTCTTTAGGACTCAGTTCTTCAGTTCTGAATGGTCTACCCTAAAGTTTGTTTGGGGAAAACAGATAAGCATTCAACTAGTCTGGTTTAATTTGGATCAGTTTTGGCTGAATAAAACAGAAAGGTCAAAGCATATTTATCCCTCACATAAAAGAGATCCCATAGTAGCTTTAAAAAACAACAAAGACATCTGGACACTGTCAGAGAAAGTGCCCAACTCACTGTCACCAAACAGTATCCTGGAAGCTCAGGAATAGCAAGTGAGTAGGTGTAAGTCATCCTTGACCCTAGAGCATACAAAAGGGAAATACGGTTCACCTACCAAAACCAAGTCCCAGGAGTCCCTCTCGGGCCCCAGCTCAAAGACGACAGGTGAACATTCCCACAACAGATCTCAGGTTCCCAGACAGCCATGCAGATTGACACCATAACCTCTCGAGGCCTCAGACCTTTTCTTAGATCCACGTAGTAAATGGTCAGGCACTAACTGGAGCTAACATGTAGGGACAGACAGAACTCAGCCACCAGTGACTGACTGCACAGTTGATGGCCAGGGTGACTGACAAAATGCCCAGTACAGGAATCTCCAGTCAGCAACCTGACCTGTCAGTGTTACTTTTCCATCCAGGCACACTATTTGCAGACTGCTTCCTTGTGGCATGGGGGTGAGATGTCAAACAGGTCATCTGAGACTAAGTTCGTACTTTGGGGAGACCAAGTAATGCAATGTTGATGGCAGTAATGTTGGCCACAGATAATGGGACAAGAAGCAGGGCTGAGAACACACTGACTTTGCATCAGAGCGTGTGGCCTGCCTGTCAGCTTTTTAATCCTCAGTGCTGCCTCTACAAAAGGATCAGACCAGAGAGGTGGCTGGAGGGTGTGCAGGCATGCTTCAGAGGTCCCACGCATGAAGAAATTTACCAAGAAACATCCATACCCTTTATCAGACTTCCAAAATGGGTTTGTAATCCAAAGAAAGGTATGGACAACTAACCTTGCATCTTGCAACACCCATCATCCCTGGGAAGCACAGCCAGTGACACTGATGCAGTCAGCAGCATACATATGACAGAAACCAGGACATTAAAATGGACAGACTATCCCAAGTGGAGTCAGGTGACACTCGAAAAGTAGAAAGCCCATCTGCCATGCTCCACCCGTCAGCATCCTGACACCTGGAACCCGGGTGTTTGGAGAGTGCCCCACCCCTCCACGTATGTTTTCTTTCCTCTTCACATAATTGTATGATGGGCCCTCCCTGGTGGCAGCCGGTTAAAGCACAGCACTTAGAAGCTAAAGCCACTTCAGCATGAGTTCAATCCCCTGCCGCCTGTCCTGGAGGTGACCACATGGCGTGGCAGACCTCTCCTGACCCGCCCGCTGCTCCCCTCAGCAGTGTACTTCGTCTGTCAGCCTGTTCTGCTCCCCACTCTGTCTCTGGTGAATCCTCTCACCGCCCCTGCACCTCTGGCCTGTACCCCCATTGTGTATGCACAAATAAATCTAAAAAAAATAAGAATTGTATGAGCTGGTATAGAGGCGGCAGCTCTGCCTAACCTGGGTCTGTGATCCAGCCATGTGGGAACATACACTAGGACTTGCCTCACGGGTCTCCGCAGGTGCCACAGACACACCAGGTCGGCCACTTGCTCCTGTCTGGTGGCTCACGCATGATGCTAATGCTGCCCTCTGCCAAGGGGCCTGGTTGGCTTTCAGTCGGGTCAGAATGTGCTAGGCCAGCATTAACTAAGTGAGACCCTTAATGGCTTCTTGTGTGTCAGTCGATCAAGGGAAACGTGTGTGCGGTGGCAGGGAAATGTGATGTCTGAGAGGCAAGACCACATGCAGGAATCCATCTTCGCTCTTTTTCCTTTCACACACTTCAGAAATTGGCAGGCGGCACTCACAGCACCCTCCCCCCTTCACTAGCAGGACTGACTGACCATCAGCCTCTCCTGATTATTTTGATGAGCTCCCGCGTGTCCATGTGACCGACTACCAACTACAGGCCGCCTCTCACCCCTGTATATTTCCAGCAGGATTTGGGTAGTGAAACTGCTATGGGGCTATCGCAAAGTAAAGGACAGTGGCCGAGAGAGGACAGGTCACTGTCCGTGCATCCTTCACCCACATGCACGTCGGCAAGACGGCTCAGGCTCGGGGAACAAGACGGGTTAGTAAGCCAACATGGGGAAGCAGTCTCTAAGGCCCCCACTCAGTCTCGAAGGCCATGGCCGTTGGACCCCAGTGTCCAGCAGCCCTAAACAAAGGCCCTTCATCCAGACAGCACCATCCCGCCCACGAGGGCCTGGGCCTGTGGCATGCTGGCAAGCAGCAGCCCAGGCCCCAGCCTTGGGGCTCCTTCAGGCGGTGTCAGGCAGCTGGAGACAGGCACTAGGCCTGCTCAGCTCTACGGCTTCTATTCAGAGGCCGACAGTTGGGTGCTGCTCCTTTCTTTGGAGGCCAGACACAGTCGGCCTCAGGAACAGAGTGTGTCGGCAGGTGCCCCACTGGTTCCTGCGTCTCCTCTGTCAGGGCTCCCCACCTACCAGTCTGACTGGATGGGTGCAATCCTCTGATGGCGCCACAGAAGCAGCCCGTCAGGGCTTGCCCCGAGTGCCCTTCTGTGGTCCAGGCACCAAATCCCCAGGCCTCCACTGCGTGCAGCTGGAGGAGTCGAGTGCCCAGCAGCCGGGCTGGCCCAGAGGGGCCCGTGCCTCTCCCTGCAACTGTGAAGTAGGGGAGCCGCTGCCACCCGCCATTGCTGCTGGCCTCTGCCGGCAGCCTGAGCCCTAGTAAAATGCCCACCACCTGCTGCTCTTTGCACTGCATGCAAGCTGCTTGCAGTTGGATGCTGTTCCAGGATAAGTCAGTCACAGGCTTGCTGCAAGTGTGGGGGAAGGGCAGGGGACACTCAAGTGGCAGCAGCAGATGTGGCGATGGAGACTTCCCTGGGGCCTCCTGGACTCAGCCAAGTCTGGTGACCACAGCGAAGGGCAGGGCCAAGCGTGATGTAGTAGCTGAGCAGACTTTTTACGCCATCGGCCTATGTGGCTATCACCTGCGGCCTTGATCTTGTTAACACAAAGGCTCACGGGTGTGGGCCACGCACGCCTGAGCACGGGTGTAAGCACAAGTGTGCACACCTGTACCTGGGAGAGCGGGGATAAAAGGGCAGCGTCACCCTGGGGAAGGGGCTCAAGCGCAGAACACTAGATCTTAAGTGTTCTCACCACAGCGCACCCCCATATGCACACACCCCACCCCCATCACACACAGTATGGGAGGTGCTGGATGGATGGTTGGTTAGCTTGACTGGGAGCAACTTTCATAACGTATGGGCATATCAAACCCCATCCTGTACACCCTAAATTTATGCAGCGGCCTCCCTGGCGCCACAACAGGTTAAGGCGCAGCACTAGGAGGCTGACTGTAGCCACTGCAGCAGGAGTTCAGTCCCTACCCAGGGAGCTGACCCACATGGTGTGGCAGACCTCTTCCCACCTGCTGCTCCCCTCAGCAGTGTTTCAGTCAGTCTGCCTGTTCTGCTCCCTAATTTACCTCTGGTGAATCATCTAATCCTCCACACTTATGGCATGTACCCCAGTTCTTGTATGCATAAATAAATCTTTTTAAAAAATTTACACAAGAGTCATTTATCCGTCACACCTCAGTATAGCTGAAAAATGAAAGTACTCTGCTCTCACTGCAGAAATTCAGACATACTCCAAAGATCTCAAGACAACAAATTGCCCCAGTGCAACAGCCAGCAATAAATCATACTGTTCTTAGGGCGAAATGCTTCCTACTCTGAGTTTGGCGTAGGTCACATCTGAAAACATGTTAGATTATTGATTTAACCAGGACACCTGCACTTTAGAGTTTTCGTTACAGTAAATGGCAAGGTACATTGTATAGGTCACTTCCTGCTAAGGAGAACTGCCCTCGTACTTTCTGTTAGAGGAGTCTGCGGGCTGACACTTTTCTGTGGCTTTCTGAAGCATGGCTGACACTTAAAAGTCATTATTTCTGGGCCCTCCCTGGTGGCGCAGCAGGTTAGGACGCAGCATTGCAAGTGGGCCACAGCCACTTATGCATGAGTTGGTTCCCTGCCCCAGAGGTGACCACATGGCGCGGCAGACCTCTCCTGACCCACCCGCTGCTCCCCTCAGCAGTGTACTTCATCGATCTGCCTGTTCTGCTCCCCACTCTGTCTCTGGTGAATCCTCTCACCACTCCTGCACCTCTGGCCTGTACCCCAGTTCTGTATGCATAAATAAATCTTTTTTTTTTAAAAAAAAGTCATTATTTCTAAAGGACATGACTCTGGAAGGGCCTATGCCTTTCCCACGGGACCCCATATGATCCAGAGCAGGAAGGCAAGTGGCCATTCACTGGACGCCGACCACAGCCTCGGCTCATCCGCTGCCCCTGGTATGTGCAGACACACTTACAGGTCATAGGAAAACTTTCTCTCCAGGTTGGTCTGGTTCTTCTGAAACTGGAGGACGTCCTGCTGCAGCTTGCCGTAGTTCTTCTGCAGGGCTTTCAACTGGTCTAAGCCAAGAGAAGGACATAAATGCCACAGGTCACCAGCAGGGCCCTCAGGACAATAGCAGGCACACAAAACCCACCAGGGACTCAGCTGGGAGTGGCCTACTCAGGAACAAGAAAGAAAAGAGGAGATGCCCCTCCCCAGTCACCACTACACTACACTTGGTAAAAAAGCGAAGATTGGCCCTTTGTGGTGGTACAATGGATTAGGATGCAGCACTGCAAACTGGCCACCTCAGTGCAAGTTCGATCCCCAGCCCCGGAGGTGACCCACATGGCACAGCAGACCCCTCCTAACCTGCCTGCTGCTCACCTCAGCAGTGTACTTCATGGATCTGCCTGTTCTGTTCCCCACTCTGTCTCTAGTGAATCCTGTCACTACCCCTGCACCTCTGGCCTGTACCCCAGTTCTATAAGCATAAATAAATCTTTAAAAAAAAGACAAGATTTGCTCTGAGACCAGCAGCCCTACAGGAATCTGCCCCTAGAAGTGTTTCCAAAGGCTCTTAATCTCCTTTTAGACTTCCACCACTCCAAATGGAGTAGCAGGTTCTACTGGCCTGGTTCTTAGGCATCACAGCCCTGCATCACGCAGCAGCCATCTGTAAACACTGATTTCCACACCTAGACAGAAAAGCAGCCCCCCTAAAAACAGCTATCCTCAGCCACCAGGCTACCCACCAGTACTCACTGGTCACACAGACACAGCCAAGCTACTCTCTGAGACCCCGTGGAAGCAGTCTCACCACTTGGTTCCGAAAAGCCTTTTGGCAGAATAAAGCAACTTGGTGACCAAGGGCCAAGCTGGGGGCAGAAGGAAAAGCAGCTGCAGCGGGCATTGCAGGCGCAGACAGCAGTGCCTGGAACGCAGAGCACAGGGAGCCGCGGCCCGTCCCGGGGTCTGTCTCCACAACTCGACCCACAAAGCTCTGGGGGGACGGTAAGTTGGAACAGAAGTGGGAGAAGTGGGGGCGGGGGGTGATGAGCAAGAAACTGCTGACACAGCAGATTCAGGATGAAGAGGGCTGAGGCCAGGGTGGCGCTGGGGACGGGGTGACGCAGGACTGTGGGGGTGGAGTTCCTGGGATGACGGGCTTGTGCTGTCCCAGTTCTGCACTTGTCAGAGTGTACAGAACTATATGCTATAAAGGGTGCACCTTAGTGTACCTTAGTGTGTATAAATTACACTAATATAAACCTATTTTTTTCTTGAATAAGGTTATAGTCTTATTAGCAAACAAGAATAAATTGGTTGTTGGTAAAGGCATGAATAAAGTCTTCCAAAATAACAGAAAAGCAAATATTTTTGTGCATTGTATACCAGTACTTTATGATACCAAGAAGTAAGGCAACGCAATGACCTATGATTGCAAAAATCTTCTTCTGTCAGTATTAGAGACGCTTGAGTCACATCGGCCACAGGTTCAATCAAGTGCAACAAAACCTAGCTTTTAAAAAGACAGATTTGGGCCTCCCTAGTGGCACAGGGGGTAAAGTCTCCGTGCTATCAAGCTATCGCCAGCCACTGCAGCACGAGTTCGCTCTCCAGCCAGGGAGCTGACCCACATGGCGAAGCAGACCTATCTTGCCCGCCGCTCCCCTCAACAGTGTGTTGTAGATCCACCTATTCTGCTCCCCACTCTGTCTCCTGTGAGTCCTCTGACCACCCCTGCACCTCTGGCCTGTACCCCAGTTCTTTATGCATAAATAACTAAATCTTAAAAAAAAAAAAAGCTATTTAAAAAATATACAAGGTTTGAGAAAGGCAGCACATATAAACCCTTTTTAAATTACTGAAATTTAAACAAAAATTAAAATTACAGTTCTCCATCCCATAAGCCACACTGACTGCTCACTGGCCATGCGGCACAGGGCCACCATTCTGAACAGCGAGGCCCAAGGCTGACCTGCCCCTATGGGGAAAAGCAGATTCGGGCCCAGGCGAGCTTCCTCACTTGTGGGCAAAGTTGAGACAGGGTCAGGTCGAGAGTCACGAGGCCCAATGCCCCCATCACATTCTCCGATCATGCTGAACACTGCTGATCCTCGAGTCCTGGCAGAAGGCACACACCCCACAAAAGTTTTACCTCGCCCCACTTCCACTGATGCTTCAGAGCAGTGGGAGGCAAGCAACCCACAATGAATTAGGAAAGCGAAGAAATGGAATTAAACTAACCTGGCTCATCAAGTTTCATAAAGAAAATCTAAACTTCAGGGTGAACTGAAGAGATCACGTGCGGGAGTGCGTGTGTGTGTGTACTTCCTGATGCATTAATAAACGATTCCAAATTCATGTATTCAGGAGTATTTTTAAAGGGAAAGCTCTTTAAGGCAAAAAGAACAAAATGAAGATTATTTAAGTACGCACAATACTCCCTACTTCTCAATTAGAATAAGAAACTCCAGAAAAGGACAGAGGAAAGGTAGATTTCTCCTAAAAGGGCCAACATCTCGTGGAAAGGAGGGCGGGAGGGGAGCTCACCTTGCAGGCTTCTGATGAGCCTCTCACCACTGGTGATGTTATTCATTAAAACCGCCTGCAAGGAAAAGAAACACAAAATGAAAACACCTGCAACCCAGAAACTTGGAAGTGCCTTGATAAGCTGGCCCCGTCGGGGAGGAAGGCAGGGTTCCCGGCACCCTAGCAGCTGTGGGGGGACCTGGTCAGCTGCTCTGGCCGGGCTGTCCACAACCTGAAGGAACGGGCATTTGGAGATTTGCTGCCCAAACACCAGCCTGTAAGCCAGGAAGGGGTAACGAGCCTCTGGCTCTATTCCAGTGCACGAGCTAATCCTCCAGGAAGGCCCTGCCTGGCCTGGCCCCCCACCCCCCAGCGCCTCCAGACTCGGGGAGCAGCCCGGGCTGAAATGGCAACCAGCACTCTGTCTGGGAAACCCCCAATACAGCCACCCCTCCACCAGAAGGCAGCCCCAACCCAGTCTCCCTGGGGAGTCTCTGGGGCACCTAGCTGCCGGCCTTCTCTCTTCTGTCAATGGCCCCTATAAGCTGGGGGCTGCAGGGTTCACACAGTTCAGAAAGGCCCCAATCAAGGATGCAACAAAGGGCAGATAGGTGAAATGTGCCAAGGGAGTGAGGCGTCCTGTGCGCAAGCGGCGGCCGCCCGGAGCCCCACCTACCCAGGTGACCTCCGGAGTTCACTCACCCTCACACCTGCCACGCAGGGAGGGAAAGACGGTGACCTATCTTAGGTACACTGAGGCTCAGGGCCCTTAAGAGGCTTCTAAGTAACAACGCCAAAGCCAAGCCCAGCAAGCGTGTGGCCGATGGTGAGTCCTTCCTCGCCACTTGCCAACCGGGCCTGAGGGCCTGGAGATGTGGCTGACAGCATCGGTGCTGAGATATAACAGAAACCTGAACAAGAGGGGGCTGAGGCATCAAATAGTAAAGGACACCACACAGGTCGTGCTGTGACCAAATACAGAGTCATGTACTGGGCCACAGTGTGAAAGAGTCTGACTGGAACTGCAATCACTGGTAAAACACCCAACTACCTGCCTACCTGACACTCAGCCCGTGACGCTCATGCTGGCCAGGCAGCGGTGGACGACACCCCCTGTGCGTCCTCTCGGCCCCGCCTCCCTCGCTCCCTGGTCTGCTTGTAGCTTTCTGGCAAATGTGCACACCTTCTGAAGTACAATCTGGCCAAATGAGTCTGGTGTTTATTTTGGGAGGTCCGAAAACAGGGAACATTTCCTGGTGCAAGAGAAGTCATTATGATATCGCCGTACAATTGCTCTCTCAGGGAGAGAGGATCAAGAGCGATGCCTATAAATATTCTCCACTGTGGAAGGAGAGGGAAGACAGACGACGGGGAGTCAGGTTTCCACAGCCTGCAGCTCCTGCCTGCGCACATTCAGTCAAAAAGACAAGTACCTGCGATCCAGCACTCCCACTTCTGGACAGAGATCCAAAAAATCCCTCAAAGCAAGAGCCTGAAGGGAGACCTGCACCCCCTTGGCCACAGCAGCACTATTCACAATAGGCCAGAGTCCCTCCGTGGGTGAATGGACAAGAAAATGTGGTGTCTGCTCACAAAGGGACACGGGTCAGACGCCGCGACAGCAGGAACCTTGGGAACAGAACACTAAGCAAAACAAGCCAGTCTCCAAACCACACGACTCCACCTATATGAACAGGTGAAAGAGTCAAAGCCATAGAAGAAGAGAACAGGTGTCACGGGCTGTGGGGTGGGGGCGTGGGCGCAGAACTAGGGTCCCAGCGGCACAGAGTCTCAGAGCTGCGAGATGGGCGAGTTGATGCTGCACAGATGAAGCTTCAACACTGGAGCTTCCACCTTGCAGAGGTCTCAAAGCCGCATCCCAGCCCGCATCGGTGCTGAGACAAAACTGAACGTAGCAGGAGCCCCAAAATGACTCCTGAGCCTCCTCTCTGAGGCAACTCACTTCTCTAAATATCATGACTGCAGGCCCATCACGAAGTGTTCTCTATCACGCCTCTGGCCCCCACTCAAAAAAATCCATTAGGGTACACACGACCTGAGTTTAGGGACAGCCGCCATGTGAAATCTGGAGGTGTTGGAGGTGTTTCTGTCTGCTATGTGACTTTATTTTTCTGAAGCAAAACAAAATTTTTTTAATCTTTCCCCATCTACTTACTCATGAATGGAGGGGGGATGCTAGCCTCATTTAAGAAAATGAGAAAAAGATCTTAAATTGCTTTCAAAATCTTTTATAGTTATTGAAATTCTTGTTGAATCATACTCAGGAAGGTCATGAAAATGCTGCTAACTTTGGGGGGAGTTCAATATTTAAAAGAACCTCCATTAGAGAGAGTGAATTTTCAGTGAATTATCTAGTCTGCTCTGAAAATAGTGGTTATTTCTCACAGTTTGATAGAGAGACTTTGGGGTGCTGTACTTCCTGGTGTTAGGGGATATTGTACTTCCCCGTGTCAGTGACCTACCCTCTGGGAATACTCAGTAGTAGACAAGGAAGCAATAAATGCACTGGCATTAACTGGAAACTAAACACCACACGCATTCACCTAAAAGCAGATTTATTCTATTCCAGGAAATTGATCAAACTATTTCTGCATTAGGTTCCTAGAAAAAATAGCTTCAACATATGATAGAAAAATTTCAAAGCAGTAAATCAATAATAATCACTTTCTGAAAGTTCAATATAATGCAGATAACCACATTTTAAATAATACCTTTGAAAAATTCACTGAAAGTGTGACAGTTGCATTTATAAAGATAAGAGGAACTTGTACTTCTATCTTTGGCTAATAAAAATAATCAATCTG